TTTTTTTTTTTTCTTTTTTTTTTTTTTCTTGCTAAAACTCAGTTATAATTTGGAAGGGGAGATGAAATTAATAAAGGGTAGAGAGAGAGAGAGAGAGGTGTGGATTATTTATTGGGAATCAGATTCTCTGGATGCCAATAATGTGTTTCATCTTTGGAAAAAGGAGGCGAGCCATAGGAATATATTAGTAGTAAAACATTCTCTTTTTTTTTCAATTTCAAACCATTCTTTTTATTCATTATTCTTTCTTCATATTCCCTTTGTCCAAATAAAATAAATGAATTTTGTTTTGATTTATGAAGTAAACTGAGTACCTGAAACAGCCAACTAACAGAGAGAAGGAGATCGGAGTCGTTGGAGCTCTCCTTAAGGTAGCTAGGAGCTAGTATATCCCACCTACTGTAACTCAAATGGAACTAATTTGAACAATAACGTATTACAAACAATAGAAGTTTGGTCCAAAAATAATAACGCCGTCATCCTTGAACCCAGAGAATGGAATCGAGATGTCGAGACAATTCTCCTAAACGCCCAGTTCCCGAGGCTTGCAGCGCGCACGTGTGCGTGTCGTGCTGAGTTGGACAGACGGTGGCGGTGACGCGGGCGTATCTAGGATTTCATTTGTAATCCCATAAAGCTTTTACTAACTAGTTGTTTAGTAGAACGCAATGTCTTTGAACTGCACTGCCTTTTGTGTAAATGATAGTATACCATACATAATATCCAACTATTCGTCGTTCCATTCACATGGTTGTGCCCATTTTGGTCGTGGAAAACACATCATGTGAATGAATGGTGTAGTTGATGGTTTCAATTACTCTTCTAATAATTATGCACACAATCTGCAAGTAGAGACAAAGGGCCTAAGTAGCAATTGAAATGGGGGTAGAATTGGCAGTTCCAACCAATTTCGATCGAGTTTCATTCAAAGTTCTGAACTTGCAAATTCCACGACGAGTCTCCGCGAAAGAATCGCGTATAGATTGCACCATTGAAGAGACAGCCGGTACCAGCATCAATTCCTCATGCTGCTCCTGAAAAAGCCCACGCTCATACGTTAAGGGTTTGTTTGGATGGAGGGTATTGGAAAATGATGTGACCAAGATGCGGGTACGGAGTAGTGTATATCAAAATATGAACTAAAGCGCTTCAAACCCTTCAGAAAACCTCCATCCAAACACACCCTGAGTTGCATATATATGAGTAACAACATAATGTACCACTTTAGCTAGTCGATCTTCAAACCCCCCGGAATCTGCTTCGCTTGCCATGAATATCTTTCTATAAGCAAATCGGAGACTCCTGATCTGAATCCATGCCAGAAAAAGTACGACAGAAGAAGGGCTTCCGTGAAATTTCAATTGCGTACATTAAAACTTAACAGTTGAAACTTGGAACAAACCTCAGAGGCTGAGAATCCACGGCGACGCAGGCCTTCAAGGTTTAATCCACGCAGCTCGGCCCTTTCACCTGACACCATCATGTACTTTGGAACATCTTGGGAAACCTAGGATTGTGCAAAAGAATCAACCTTTTCAAAGGGAAAAGATCCTAGTTTTGAAAATTACCAACAGTGAGTGTCCCTAAAGCATCTGCGATTCTGCAGTGTGGGTATTTTAGAAGATAGCAACAACAAAACCCAGTAGAATCCCACAGAAATAGGGTCTGGAAAGGGAGTAAAAACTACAAACTAAGACACAAAGGTCTACCCAAGTATTCTAGTCCTACAAACTAAGGCTGTATGTTAGAAGATATTCAACTAATATAAGTAAATAAGAATATTAATAAATACCACTGAACCACCACCGATGAAGGAAAAAGAACCGATATGACAGAACTGATGAATCACGGTAGCTCCTGCAGTGTGGGTATAGTCCTGCATGTAAATTAAGGAAATCCCCTTTCAAAAAAGCTCTTTCATTTGATTTATCTATTTTTGGTAATTGAACAAATTTGGTGCTTATTATAATGATGAGGTAATAAATTACCTCAACCACAACATGCCCAGCAAGAAGTGTATTATTTGCCAAAATGTTGTTTTTGCCCACTTTGCAGTCATGAGCTATATGACAAGAGCCCATAATAAGATTGTTATCACCAATGACCTGCTTTTACTTAGTGCTCAATAGTGTATCAAGAACTTGACCATTTTTTGGTTTCAATATATTAACATGCATTAGTGCTTACCGTTTTATCGTTGGGCTTTGAAGATCGATGGATGGATGCATGCTCCCTGATCTCGTTGTTGTCACCGACCTCAAGGAAGCATTCACTCCCCATCTAAATTGATTTAAAAAAAGATGAATAAATTGTTCTAATGAAAAAATGATTATATTTTAGCATGGGCAGTACTGGTGAATACTCAGGTAGCTAGTTCGAATCCTGATTTTGGCCCAAACAATAACACCAACAACATTACCCGGACCTCAAAGGCTCCCGCCCATTGTGGAGTAAGAGGGGTTGGATTTACATAGTCTGACCCCTATGTTTAAAACATAGAGCGGCTGTTTCGGGAACCCATGATGAGCGCCGAAAGTTGCATTGACTAGCTGCTACTTCACTATTGAGATTTTGGTGGTATCAAACCATGCTAAGAATTACTCCCTTTGTGTCTTAAAGGGAGATTTATTAGTCCTTTTTTTTGGAATTTCGACATCCAAGTTTGCCCTTGTGATATGTGGTTAGGAGTTTAACGACAAAACAAATTGAACAATATGAAGTTATGAATGTTATCTAGAAAACAGCCTCTCCACTATTGTAGGGGTAAGACTACATACATTTTGAATCCCCCCCCCCCTCCATTGATGTTGGGATTATACTGGATTTGTTGTTGCTGTTGTCGGAAACGAAGGACAAGAGATATTGTAGGGGTAAGACTACATACATT